AGCAACCTCAAACTCTTGGGCTTAAGCGATTCTCTTGCCTCAGCTTCCCAAGTAGCTGGGACTACAGGCACCTGCCACAACAGCTGGCTATTTTTTGTTGCAGTTGTCATTGCATTTAGCTGGCACAGGCCAGGTTCAAACCCGCCACCCTTGGTGTATGTGGCTGGCACAGTAACCACTGTGCTACAGGTGTTGAGCCTAAGAGGTCTTCCTCTTCCTCAGGCTGGTCTTGAACGTGTGAGCTCAGGCAATCAATCCACCCACCTCGGTCTCCCAGAATGCTAGGATTACAGTATGAGCCACCGTGCTCAGCCTCAAAACTATTCTTTAAAAGCTTAGAACATCCTTAGCCTCCCCAGATTTTTTTTTTTTTAAGATAGAGTCTCAATCTGTCACCCTGGGTAGAGTGCTGTAGTATCATAGCTCACAGCAACCTCCAACTCTTGGGCTCAAGCAATCCTCTTGCCTCAGTTTTTCTGTTTATTTTTTATTTTTTTATTTTTTGATACAGAGTCTCAAGCTATAGCCCTGGGTAGAGTGCCATGGTGTCACAGCTCACAGAAACCTCAAATTCTTGGGCTTAAGCAATTCTTTTGCCTCAGCCTCCCAAGTAGCTGGGACTACAGGTGCGTGCCACAACACCCGGCTACTCTTTGGTTGCAGCCATCATTGTTGTTTGGTGGCCCAGGCTGGATTTGAAACTGCCAGCTCATGGCTCAGTGCCTATGGCTAAAGTGGCTAAGGTGCCAGCCACATACACCTAAGGTGGTGGGTTTGAATCCAGCCCATGTCTGCCAAACAACAATGATGGCTGCAACCAAAAAATAGTGGGGCGTTGTGGCAGGTGCCTGTGGTCCCAGCTACTTAGGAGGCAGAGGCAGTAGACTCGCTTGAGCCCAGGAGTTGGAGGTTGCTGTGAGCTGTGATGCCATGGCACTCTACCCAGGGGGACCGCTTGAGGCTCCGTCTCAAAAAAAAAAAAAGAAACCGCCAGCTCAGGTGTATGTGGCTGGTGCCTTAGCCACTTGAGCCACAGGTGCTGAGCTTGCCCAACTATTTTGTTGTTGTTATAGTTGTCATTGTTGTTTTAGCAGGCCCGGTCTGGGTTCAAACCCACCAGCCACCGTATATGTGGTGTATGTGGCC